TGACACTTTTAATGCGAAGTTGCATTAAAAGTCCATTAAAATGCCAACTTTGCATGATTTTGTAAATGATAATTTAATGCAAAGTTGGCATTTTAATGGACTTTTAATGCAACTTCGCATTAAAAGTGTCATTATTTACCGAATGACACTTCATGACAACCGTCATAAACATTAATAAAAACTTTATGTTCATGACAGGTGTTATGTCATGTTTATGACAGCGTCATGTCAGTCTTTTTCACACCCCTTCAAATAAAGTGTTACCTAATTTTGTTCAGCCTGACCAGAAGTCAAGAACAAATGTGTAAATTATTTATTTTCTTTTAAAAAGGCAACAGTTTGAATCCATGTTTTAAATCTGTAATAATTCAGATTTTATAAAAAGTAGTTTAGTGTTGAGCTGGTTAAACAAATGTTTGTATTTTTAATATAATTAAAAAATATTAATGTATTAAAATATTAAAAATTTAAATACAAATATGTAATTGTTTAAATATATTAAAATATTTACAATTTTAAGTTTTTTTTAAATTATTTAATTTGCCAGTTTTGGCCAACAGAGCAAACCGTTTGGACACCTCGGCTCTGATCGATGTTCTGATCGATGTTCTGATCGATGTTCTGATCGGTCAGACCCAACTCCACCGAGTCGTCCGTATATTCAGCTGTAGTGCTGAAGGTTTGGGGCATGAATTAACTTTAACTGTTTTACAGGTTTGTCTCTCTTTGTTATGATGGCTGTATTCTGACTCCATCAGGCAGAACATTTTATTTTCTTACTGTTCTGTTATTTTCTCTTCTGAATGTCAAAAATGACAGATTGAATCGATCAGTCAAGTCTCAGATGGTGAAATTTCTTTATTTTCACAGTAAATATCCACACAGGAGGAAGCAAATGACAACATATAAAACCCAAACTACCTCTAATTACGGTAAAAATTCAGGTCAGGAGGAAACGCAGAAAAAAAAAAAAAACAGAAAATAAAATTTCACTTTACAGGACAGAGAAAAGATGGCATCCAGGACTTTGTCATGGAAAGAGTTTTTTTTCCTGCTGTTTCTCAGTTGAACATTTTTGCTGCATCCAAGCTCTTTAACTTCTTCAACCAGTGGAGGTGCATCACTGCCACCTTCTGGAGTGGAGTGGGAAAGACGGGAGTGATGAAATACTGTAGGTGAAATCCAGGATGTGGAGAAGCTTTAGTAGAGCTGTTTGAATATTTTTGAGCCTGTTCAGATTAATTTTAAACCCAAAGTAACAAAATGTTCATCCAAATGTTTCAGGTTGTTGGTTGTATTCCTGTCGGGAATGAAAATTATTTGGATTACATGAATTAATCTGAAAACATTTAATTAAGTGTGAAATAAAAATAAAACATTTAAATCGATCACATGGGTTACACTCATTGGATTTAAACAGGATATTATGGAGAAGTGTTCCGATAAAATGGTTTCATTTTCAATACGATACCAATATCGCATCTGTGATCATACCGATATTTACCCAATAAGATATCAGGACGAATCTTTTATTTTGTATTGTGAAAAGTTAGAAAACTCTTCAGTTAAAATTACTCAAACCAATGATAATGGTCAACAACATTAGGTATGAAAACAACTGACCCATTTATTATGAACCGGGACAGAAAATCTGGAGCGGACTAAAATCTGGAGCGGACTAAAATCTGGAGCGGACTGCTTCTGACTGGGATTATCGATCCATTCCAGTTTAATCTGATGCTCATTTTTTTGGCCAATATTGGACCGATTTTCAATATCAATATCTGCCTAATATTATTTGAACATCAAAGAACGTTGCCATCATCACATCAGTTCTTAACGTTGCAATATTCCCAAACATTAAATTTTTACTGTGCAGCAGCGCAGAGTTTCAGATTATCACCTATAAAATGTTTACAAGCAGCTGCTGTCTGACTCTTGGCTACATTAATGAACTACACCAGGCTGCAGATGACCTCTGACCTGGAAGAGCTTCCTGCCAGCTGCTTCCTCTTCCTCTTTCCCTGGAAACAAAGGAAAACCTGAGTTTTTCCTGGAGGTGTGTGCTGTGAATGTGCAGGATGAGTTTGGTACGTACGTAGTTGTCCCTGGCAGACCAGCCGGGGTAGAGCTGCATGTGCAGCAGTCGCTCCTTCTGGGCCAGATCGTAGAACCGGGACTGCTCCGATCGAGGCAGAGCGTGCCACTGACCCAAAGAGACAAACATCAGGCCCGGCCGGGAAAACGCAGTGACACCAAAACCAGGCCGACACCAGAAACCAGGCCGACACCAGAAACACCAGAAACCAGACCGACACCAGAAACCAGGCAGACACCAGAAACCAGGCCGACACCAAAACCAGGCCGTCACCAGAAACCAGGCCGACACCAAAACCAGGCCGTCACCAGAAACCAGGCCGACACCAGAAACACCAGAAACCAGGCCGACACCAGAAACACCAGAAACCAGGCCGACACCTCGGTCTGGTTTCACCAGACACCAGAAACTGATGAAAATGTGGGCAAATATTTCTCCATTTTCTATTGGTGTAACAAAAAGATACAAAT